GGACTGGTCTATGGATATTTGGGAAACTAAGAGATATTCTTCATAGCTAAGGTTTCAAGCTTAAATATATTTGTTAATTTTTGTTCTAAACCCCTGGGGATTGTGTCTAGATTATGTAGCTATCACACAATTTGGCACAGCTGGGATCCTCTTTTCGTGAAATAGCAGGGAAGGCTGGTACACAGGGATTAAACAGCATTGGCAAAAGAGAATGGGGAATCTTATACAGTAACTTCCCACCCTGAACCTTCCTGGTCTAAGAGTTTCTCCTAGCCTTAGTGGGTGGGTGGGAACAAGAAAGGATTTTTATCTTCTTAGTAAAAGAAAGGATACAAAAACACTTAAGCACTGCTCGATTTGATGAAATCTTGATTTTGCTTAAAGTTTCTACAAGACTAGTCATATTCTGGTTCAAATGACTTATAACATCCATCGATAATTTCTCCGATGGGTACGTATGTTTACAAATAAAAACTATTCTCAGCTACTTAAGAAATGTTATTCTTCCCTGTTTTTAAAAGAAAGTTAATCAGTAAGCTTCTCTGCAGCTACTTTAGCAATAAGGTCTCCTAAATTTTACAATTCTATTCAGCATTTTGATTTTTGGTTTTTGTTTGATTCCAGCAAGGTTTTATTCTATTTTTTTGTGGTGGCAAAATTTTTCCCTGTCGTGTTTAAACATGGTGTTCTTTGTTTTGAGAATGAATTTGACCATTTTGACTGCTCTTGCTAATTTTCCTGGTTACCTCCATTGTCTAGTTATGAATTTGTGGGTGGGGAAAGGTAGAGTTATCCTAAGTGAATTATTTTGAGGAGAGCCAGTAATGAAGGCACACTTTAGGTTATTTCATTCCTGTGATCCAAATTTGATTATCTAGCTAATATCACTAGGGACATTTGAAGCTTTAATAATTACATCTCAAGGCCTAAAGGAAAAAAAAAGAAGAAAAATTACATTTTATACACATTCACACACAACCTTTCAGAAAGTTCTCATTTGAAAGCCTGTTTGGCTGCTTTAAAAATATAGATTGATATCAAGATACTGCTTTAAGGGTTCAAGCTCAGCTGATACTTTGTTCTTAAAAGAAAACCCCAAAATCTGGATTTAAGCAACTGTTTTGTGTAGAAGGATTTAGCATTGCTTATCTGAAAGAGTAAAAAAAAATATAAGCTATTGAGTTTATCTTTCCTTTTGGAGAATAGTTTTAGGATTTTTCTCCCCCCCGGAAAGTTTCGAGGCTATGATTCATGTTAAAAGTGCCCTGTTCCATTATGTACCAACACAGCTTTGAAGCTCTCTCTGCTTCTAGGTCAAGGGCTCTCCCTGTGGCCAGATGCCAGTTTTATCCTTGGACTCCCATGATCCTCAGAAATAAATCAACTTTCCAGTAAAATCCTGTGACAGCTCTGTTTTACATAAAAGTGTGCAGCCTGGGGATGTAATACTGTTTTGCATTTCAGGTGGAGAAAAAGGGAAAGAAAACATCCATTATCACTGGGAGACGATTCCAGGTGGAGTCATTATTACAGAAATCAGAGGGCAGCTGGGGGACCATACTCTCTCTCCCTACAGCATCTCTAGCTCAAAAGCTTATTATTTGTGTGGAAACAAAAATACAAACGCTGTAAAGTGTTCCAATCCACATGTGGCATTGGTCAATACAGTCCATGAGCTGAAAAAGTATTGAGTAGGTCAGCTCTCTTAGGTCAGTATTTCTTCCTTGTGGGAAGAAAAGAAAGGAAAAAAATGAACGAATTACTACTCCACATAACAATGGATGAATCTCACAATGTTGGAAAATAAAAGAGGCTACACAGAAAATAATGTATCCTGTATTCCATTTGTATAAATTTCAAAACCATGTAAGACTAGTCTGTTGTGTTAGAACTATATATATAGTTTACCTTTGAAGAGGAGAGAAAGGATTGTGCTGGAAGGGGGCATGAAGATGGCTTCCAGGTCGCGAGAAAATTCTATTTCTTGACCTGGGTGGTGGGTATGGTGTGGGTTCACTTTGTAATAATCCATTAAGCCATACACCGGTGTGTGTTTTTTTCTGTTAAGAATGATTTACTTCAATTTAAAAGTTTAAAAATAATATCCCCATTGGGAAAGACAATTTCAGGAAATATTAGAAAAAACATTTTGCCTAATTAACTTGATCACTAAGCTAAAGGAAAAACTAGACAGAACTTCAGTGTAGGGTAATGGGAACTCTCCTGCACTGCTACAGAGAACGGAAATTGCTACGGCTGTGCTTGGTTCACTCTTTGGCATTATCTATTAAAGATTTGCATATCTGGTGACCCAGATTTCCACAATAAAGATATGTGCAGGTAAGCACCGAAAGAAAACAACTCTATCCATCATAGCCTCAAGTGGAAAACCAGCCAAACTGTCCATCAGCAGTAGAGTGGATAAATAAAGTGTGCTTTGTCCAATCTTGGAATACCATACAGTATCGAAAATGAATGAATCACAGTACCCTCAGCATGGATGAAATTGAGAAACCTAATATGAAAAGATAGAAGCCAGAAACAAAAAATCATATGTTCCCATTTTCTTAAAGTTCAAAAAATAGGAAAAGATAAGTATGTGTAAGTATCAATATATATTTAGGTGGTAAAACTAAAGAAGAGAAAAAAAAAGAGGTTATCATAAAAGTAAGGGCAGTGGGGAGAGGGTGGGTGGGCTATGAGTGGGAAGGGATGGATGGAGGCTTTCTGGACCATATTCTATTTCTTGATTTGAGTAGTGGCTATGCGGTGCTCACTTAATAAAAATGTATTAAATTATACTTTTATATATCATGCACGTTCCCTGATATATATTTCACAATTAAAAAGGGTATAAAAAAATCACATGAAACCCAATTACTCAGAGATAGTTATCAATTTAACATCTTGATGTATATATTGTCAGACCTCCTTTCATGCAATATATATATTTCATCCACATTGCTTTATAGTCTTTAATTTTTTTCTTTGATAATACGATCTCCCAGGAGAATTCCTCTTCAGGTTTTTTCTTTCAATTTCCATTTAATTTTAACCAAGAGTAAATATCATACAAGCTTTATGTCCCTCTGAAAGCCTAAAGCCATGGAGTGGCTTTCGGGAAATTAGGTTGCTTTAGCCTAAGCTACAGTGATTCATAAACCAATCTGCAGGATTTTGCCATAGCTCATGGGAGACTTTTCCTTCTCTGTTAATAATGCTGCTGCTTCAGGAGAGAAAAGCCCCTTTCCACCCCTTCAGAGTGCTATCTTCAAAAGGAAAAGGTCAGGAAAAGTGAGGGGAAAGGCCAGTAGGAGAGTGGTCAGGAGGCTTTGGGGAGGAGGGGGTCATCCTAAAATGTATTACGATATGCGTCTTGCTGAGCCTACGCTGAGCCTGGCCTGGGCAACTTTATGAAGTACTGAAATCAATCAAAAAGTGATCTGGGTGCTTTTTTAAAAACCCCAAAGTAGTCCCATTGGTATTCTTGCCCCTTGGGCAGTGCAAGCTTTCTGCCCTCTTGTCTGCAGCCTGCAGCAGCCCCCTCTCCCTGTCTGCAAGCATCCTCCACTCTTCTCCTCCACCCTTTTCATCATCTGAACATTTCATCATCTTCGTCATTACATGGTTCAAGAACTTTTCTGTGACCATCCAAGTTTGGGGGGTGACCCACTCTGTGGCACCCTGGGACTTACAACATCACAGCAGTAGTCACTTTTTTTTGCATTTAAAAAATATTTTTAAATTTTTAGGGTGGTAATTAGGTTTATATTTTTATTTATTTTAACGGAGGTACTGGAAATTGAACCCAGGACTTCGTGCATGCTAAGCATGCACCCTACCACTGAGCTATATACCCTCCCCCTCATCACTTTATTTCGAAGTTGCCTATATTCCTGTCTACAAATACACTCCTAATCGGTGAGCTTCACGCATGCAAGGGCAGTGTCTCCAGGCCCATTGTAACTCCAGGCCCTCGTGCATGCTGGTGCTCAAGAAATACAGTCATTGAATGAATGAAAAACAGTTGTGAAATGAGATGCGCTGTGGGGAGAAAAGGTGAGATTTAAACTATATTTTCCCAACTCCCTTCACCACTGAATACAAATGGCCTCAAAGAGTCCAGCCAAACCAACACGGGGTAGTGCAAAATTCGAAAATCTACAACTGCTCAATTTCAAATACTTAACTAGTAATAGCAGTTTGCATTTGTATCATGTTTGATATTTTGTTAAGTGTTTTTGCATATTATCTTGTACAATTCCAGCAACAAGTCCTCCGAGGTAAAGCTATTAATTTTATATGGGACGCTATTAATTTTACCATTTCATATATTGGAAAAGGATATGTAGAATGTCTGGGAGAGTTTCAGTAACTAGCTGATTATATGATTATTTTTTAGTTTGAGCCAGGAACTAGTGGCCCCTTAGTGCTAGAAGCATAAACAAATTCAATGTATACCATTTACAGATATATTTGCCGGGGGAGGGTAGCGACATCAAATAAATATGTGATACCATTCTGATTTTTTATCTTTTAGAAGATTTTCCCCCCAAAGCATTTATTTTTTTAGCCTTATTTTTCATGACAAAACTAGTATATATTTGGAGTATAAAATCAAAAGAGCACGAATAAGAAACTCAAAATCACTTACGATCACATTACATAGAGTATCTATTGTTATGTCATTTTAATAACTCTGACTATATATTAAGCCTGGAGCTTTTCTGGAGTGAGAACCCTCCTCCCACACTCTACTCTTTCTTTCTCCCACACCCTCTACATTATCTTCAAAGTTTTCTTAGCTATTCTTGGCCATTTGCTCTTTTATTTGAATTTTAGAATCAGGTTTTACTAAAACTCTGTTGGGATTTTTACTGGATTTGCATTCTTTTTATAGATTAATTTCAGTAGAATTAAAACTTTTGCTGTATTGGTTCCTCTCTACCCTAAACACAGTATATTTCTCCATTAATCTATGTCTATTATAATGTCTTTTTAAAAATATGAAATGTTTCAGAAATTTGTATGTCATTTTTGCACAGGGGCCACGATCATCTTCTCTGTACTGTTCCAACCTTAGAATATGTGCTGCCAAAGCCAGAATTCAGAAGATACATCTTAACTGTTGGGTTATATCAGGAAGGAAAGGTAAGAGGTCACATGTTCATTAGGCTCTTTATGAGACAGTAACTGACAAAGAGATTAAGCTAGACTAATTGTATTCATCACACCTAAAATTGTATCCATCACACCTAAAAGGGTTTAGTTGTGTGCTAACAATGGGGAAACTGTTTCTAGCTTTTGCTATCTTGCCCCTTCTAGCATCTAAACAAAGGCTCTTTTTCTGTTGGTCTTGACAGAGAAATGCAGCAGGTAAAAGGGGTTGGGAAGTTGGGAAAGAGAAAAAGGGAAAAGAAGATGGTCAGACATGACTAGGAGGAGGGACAGCTGAATTGGGTGGAGAGCAGTGGGGGCGGGGGGCAGGAAGGAATGACAGCAAGTGTGGATTCTCTGAGTTTTACTATTCTAGATAACCGGCAGCATCAATCACTTGGGATCTTGTTAGAAATTCAGATTGGCCCCAACTCAGATTTACCCAATCAGAATCTTTATTTTAACAAGATCCCCAGGTAATTCTTTTGCACATTAAAGTTCCAGAAGCTCTTAGTTGCCCCCAACCAGTCTGAGCCAGTCCTGATCAGTGTCATCAGCCTTAGACCTATTAATAGACAAAACTGGTTTGGTTGCCTAGAGACCTGGAAATCTGGTTCTTCCTGTAGACGCTGAGTTTCAGAGTTCTCTTACCACTTTGGCCAAAGCCTCGCGACTCCCTTTGGCCTCAGTTTCTCTGTTAAGCATGTCAGTTCTCTGCAGGGGTTGGCTCCTAGCCCTGGATCCCAGATTCCTTGGCTTAGGTCCTCAGTTCTGCCAAATTCTTGCTCTGCCCCTTCCTCTGGGAAGCAAGATGTGATTTCCTACGCCCTTCTCAGCTACCGCCTGGGGGACCTGCAGTGACTGGATTGATCACCTGAACTGTGCCTGATTCTGAGTATCGTCACCTGGACTTCTTCCAGCACTGTGTTCTGCTGGCAGAAAGGACACACTCATATATCCAAATAGCCTGGCCCAGTCCGAGCTTGTCACGCCCCCTGACCACTGCACACTGGTCTGCCTCGCTGCCTCCTGGGGTGGGCCAACTTCTGAAGACAGGCTCTGTTCCCTCTGTCCCGCTGGATCTTGGCTGCTTCTTCCTTCCCGTGGCCTGTGCTGATGTGGTCCCAGCCTCCCTTGCACACAAATGTCTGCTATGAAAGAGAAGGAGGCCAGCAGAGACAATGGGAAGCAGGCCACAGTCCCGTCTCTAACATCGGTGACTCCAGGACCTCATGGCCCTGCTTCTGTGTAGACCTTGGGATTCCAAACAGTTTTACCTTTTAGGTAAAAGATACCCTGTGAGCCCTAGAAGACGACTGAGTACAAACAAGCTCAGGTTTTTGTATAATGTGTATTTTTTAGTCCTTTTTCCAAGGTGGAGAAAAATCTTCTTTGTGGCCTGACTTATTTTATAAAAACAGACCAATCCCTAGAGACGCTCAATCATTTCTCTGGTTACTATACAACCACGTCACTTTGACTGATGGCAGTATACCTCCTGCCATGCTCAATTCATGGTGGAACACTATACAAAGGGTGTCACACCTGCTGCCGTGTTTTAAACCAGCACAAAATGACATCAAGTTCAAAGCAATCAGGTTGGCCGTCAGTTATAGAGGCCAATTTTTAGATCAGCATGACTCTCCATTAATTAGTAAAATAGAAGCTGACTGTATCTTTAAGGTGGTTGCATCATTTCTATTCCTAAGAACTGTTCTTTGGTGACTTTTTCTAAAAAGAAGATGAAAAGAAAGAAAACAAAAAGAAAGTGTGGCAGCACCCACAGTCTCGAAGTAACGGTGTGGGTGTTGTTTGCATTATTTACATCCATAACACTTTCACAAGAATCCACATGTCTTACAAAAGAATGTACAAATTGCAGGAAAGACGCGGTAACACAGTAAGACACAAAGAAAACAATTATCCAGAGGAAGATTTAAATTTGGCATAAATCGTTGGCGCCGAAAGAATGGAAAAGTATGCACGGACTCCATCTGCACCTACAGAGGCAGGCACGTGGCAGCATCTACCCGGTCAGAAGAGAAACTCCACGTAAAACGGCAGTAAAAGTCATTGTCAGAAACGCCTCGGCTCATCTTGAATAAGGAATACATGCTATTTGATGACATCACTCCAAGTTTCTAAAGTTGCATGACGGTCTCATTACATGAGCAGGGATGGATAAATCTGTGACTTTCTGAAAGGCACTCTTGGACGAGCAAAATCAAAGGTCCTAGGAAGAAGCTACTTGAGACTAGGATGAGTAAGTGGATAGGAAATAGAACGTAAGTACGAACTATTCATCGCACCTTTCTGACGGTCCAGATTTTCTCAGGATAGACTTCATTGATAAATCATGACGAAACTGCATTTGCTGTCGGTGGAAAGAACCCAGTTTTGATGGACGTCACGCCAGTTCTCCTTCAGTCGCTTTCAGCGTTATGCCTGCTGTTATGCATGATTTTGAACGAGGTTCCAACCAACCCTTCAAACTTATGGGAAAAGGGAAACCTGGTACGGAGGTGGGGGAGGAGGGGTGAGGAGTGGGGGAACATGACTCTCAGGAAAAATTTCTAAAATGTTGCAGAGGCTTAAAAATTGGTAAGTATGCAGAACGACACGTCAGACGGGTGCTATTATAACTTTAGTGTGTGTGGTGACAGTCAAAGCACTCAAAATGACAATGTCATTTGTCTTCTTTGTATTGCTTTTGTTTTCACAAGTCACATGGCAAAATCAACAAATACTACATCATCCCTCTGAGGATTCAGCTGTGGAAAAAGCATCCGCTAGCTCATCTCTAGGGTAGCTATTATTAGCTTGCTTTGATTCTCTCATACGCCACGTACCCCATGCTCATTAAGCTGTTTGCTTGCTTCCTTTGTCATATTCCTGAATCTGACTACTGCCATGCAGTGTACTCCAGTGAAACCCAGAGGTACCCGTTTCCATAGGCCTTTTCCAAAATGGATGTAATCCCTCTAGTTTTAAAAACGTTATCTGGAGGAAAAAAACATGCAACATCATACTTGCGCTGGTATTGAACTTTTCTAGAGGAAACATTACAGTACCTGCACTGGACTGTAGAGCGTCACTTCCGCTCTCCCCGACTAAACCCCTGGTCACTCAGAACCTGTGAACATGACCTTACTTGGAAATAGGGTCCTTTCGGATGTCATCAGGTTAAGAAGAAGTCATACTGGATTAGACTGGGCCCTAAATCCGGTGACGGGTGTCCTTATAAGAAGATCCTGCAGAGATACAGACGTCCAGGAAGATCATCATGTGAAGACAGAGGCAGAAATTGGAGTGATGTAGCTACAAGCCAAAGACTGCCAGTAACCATTAGAAGGGGCCTTAGAGCAGATACTGTCCAAGAGTCTCTGGGGGGACGTGGCTTTCCTGACACTTTGATGTCAGACTTCTAGCCTCCAGGACGGTGAGATATGTGACATATACATTTCTGTTGTTGAAACCACCCGGTTTGTGGCATTTTGTTGTGGCTGCCCTAGGAGACGAATGTAATAGCCAAACTCCAGATTATGAAATTAAGCACTTTAAATACCCAAAGACTTGACATTAGCTTTCCCTTTGATGATGAAGTTAGGGGAGGAAAAGGCTACTTGTCAGGGTGACGTGGTAAGTACAGACCAAAGATGGGATTAGAAATTGGCCACTCTAGCATCACAAGGCATAGGGAACTGGGAGAGAATGGAAGTTTCACTGAAAGCACTAAGGTGTTGATATCACAGCATCAAGTGAGGCAGCAGACTTCCATTTTGCAAAATTTGCAATGGAGGTGGTCAAATTCTGATGACAACCCCTTTTCAACCCCTCACATAAATAAAAAGTACATTAAAAATGAGAACTAGAGATTCGAGGTGAGGGTGGTTTTGTACCGAGTGGTCCGTGTGCTTGGTGTTTCCCCCAGCTTTCTAGATCTTTGGGGGCAAAGACAATGCGAGTGGTTCCCTTGGATCCAATGTGGGCTACCCCCAGGAGAAAGCAAGTATGGGGGTATCTTGTGTCCTTTCCAAGAGGGTCATCTGGATGGGTAACCAGATAAACAAAAAAGCTGGAGTTGGTACTCAGCTTCTCGGGGTCCCCGGGAAGAGCACGTGCTCAGCCATAGGAAGATGTGTCTCTCCGTCTGCAGGGAAATAATGCTGGTGAGAGAAGCCCCAGCCTGGAGCATCTCCAAAAACCTCACACAACACCAGCAAGGGAGGCAACTGTGACTCCCTGTCAAGGTCAGAGAACTCAGATACTAGACCTTCACAAGACTAGCAGACAAGTACGCACTTTCCGGCTGCCCTCTCCTTGTCTTCTTCCCAGGATTCTAAACTGGGGCAAGTGTGAAATCACCTTTAGAAAGCTGCAAGGGGCAGGGATGCGGAAAGGGACGTGAACACGGGTTGCTCTTCTAGCTCAGCGTTTTGTAGGAGGCTGAGCTGGGGGCCAGAGATACCAACGTTTTTACTGTGACATGAACCCAGACACAGTCATGACTGACCAAAGGACATATTACCTGGAAGTGACTAGAAGAATAAAAATTCACTCTATATTTCACCCAAGAAGGGAGAAAGTGCTAGCTCTGTGGAATAAATTTGAAGTGTTGTTTTATGATTGATTACATCCTATGAGTCATGCTTGCTCAGTGTAGCAGTTACATAACAGCTTCTAAAGGCAATTGAATAGAGCAGTTTTTAGTGCTTTCTATAGAGATTTCCCCTGTGAAGTCACCGCATTTCTGTCTGAACTTTGGAAAATTATATGTCAAATTGCCCTCACAGAGAATTTCATCCTTTTTACTTACTGTTTATCAGCACTTATGAAATGCCTAAACTGAAAAGCATTATATGCTTGGTACACATTAGGTGCTCAATAATTGTTGAATTAATAAAGAAATGAATGGGCAGTAAAGAGAAATCCTGATTGCCTGGATT